AATATTTTGTAGATCTCCCTTTAGCTTCAATACAGGTGGCAATATGATTCAGCATACTTTTAATAAGCTGATGGCATAGCTCAAAGAAAATATCATATCATGCTTCTTGTATCAGAATATCCAGCTCTTCAAGGTTATTTGGTTTTGGCTTGTGATGCATAGCTTGTTTTACTTCAAATCAAAGATTTTCAATTAGATTCAAGTCCAAACTCTGGGAAGGCTATTCTATTTTCTGAACTCTATTTTCCTCAATAAATTTCTTTGCCATTTTTGCAGTATGAGGCTTTGCATTATCCTGTTGAAAGATGAGGCAGCCACAATTTATATTTTCTAAAAACTCTTCTAAAGTCGAAACATTGTACTCTCTCAGAATCTCAACATGAGACACACTGGTGGTGGAAGAAGGCAGAAGAACAAGGGGCTTAACCCCAAATCATGAAAAACATCTCTAGTACATATGGTCAAAGCAACACTTAACAATATAACTTAAGCATTTTTTATTTTATTTTTCATTTTTATCACACCAGACCCAACAAAAAGAAGCTTGAAAAACATGAATTGTAGTTTTGTCTAACCACAAAACTCTCTTAAACATTCGAAAAGTTCTACCTTTATAGGCACAGGCCCAAGCCAACCTTTTTTTTTCATTGATAAGAGAAACAAGCAGTTTTAGACAAGTGATACAGGACCTTAAGCTTACACTATGCAAGACACAACAAATAGTACTTTTGAAAATTTTTTTTTGTTGTAGAAAACAGATTATAGATTAGTAACCTGAGTGAGAGTTAGGCAATAGTTTTTATTGATGACCAATTCCTTAATGGTTTACGATCCTTGAGAGTAAGAGAACTTGAATATTTAGATTATTTTTTTTTCTTCACCTATCTACCCTTCTCACAATACTCTTTTATTACATTCTAAATGGCAGATTTGCTACAATTCACTTGAGCTGCAATCGAACAAATAGAATCTTTTCATAGGTAACTGTATACTATAACACCTTTCTGTTCATTGGTTAAATCTTTCTTATTGCTCATTATTGTGTACAAAAAAAGATGATTTTGATATTTTTTGCTATTATGATGATCTGTAGTATACAAATACCTATTTATAGTATTGTGTGATATTGCTTGCATGTTATATAATATTTACAAAAAATTTCAGGCATGACCCTAGCAAAATAAAATTTTTATAAATTTTTTTTTAAAAAAAATTCGATTTATAATTTTTGGTCCTATACAAAAAAAGAAACTCTGAGTCTGCTCTGCATAACTTCTGTATAACTAAACTGAATTGTATAAAATTTTACTATATCATACCCATAGGTTTGCTTAACATGTGAAAAAAAATTGTATTATATTTACTTACCTAATTCCAAGTTATTAAATGCAAAAAAGTGTCCATAATAATATGATAGATAGCTGTATATATTTAGATATTTTATTATAAATAAAGAGGTCTATATCAGCTTAATATAAGTTAGTATAAGAACTCTAAAAGTTGATATATATTTTTGCTTTACTGTTTATAAATTTACCAGTTTTGATTGATAAATATGTTTCTGAGAGACAAAGCATATCATATAAGTTTTAATCTAATATTTTTTCAATAAGAAATCTTTTTGCAGATTATAAAAGGCTATTTGTATTAAATAAAGCAATTTTAATAGAGATTGAGATGTATTTGGATTTATAAGTGTAGAAGGTATTAGTTGAATAACTTGATGTAATATGTAAATTAGAAGGAGATTAGTTGTTAATAGGATTGTTTAAAGCAGAAGATAGTGTAAATAAAGAGAAGATATCTATTATAATAGTACAGAATAAGATAGACTCTAGTATATATAGAAGAGTTAAGAATGATTGTGAATCATTAAATAGTTTTCAATATTGTTTGATAAGAAAAAAAGATAATCTAAAAAATAAGTCTTATATTTGCTAAAACTAAATTGTTTAATTATTTTATAGTTAGATAGAAGATTATTGTTATTTAGAAGATAGAGATATATTTCTAAATTAATATTATTAACTAAGATAATTATATTGTTATTGAACTGTAATTATTGAAGCAATTGTATATTTATATATATAAAAAACTTATATTATTAATATAAATTACATTTAATTAGAAGCTTCTAACAAAATACAAAACTAATATAGATACACTAATTCTAAAATACTAATCAATATAGCTATAAGTTAAAAGTAGTATTATTATATAAAACTCAATTAGAAATAATTTTACTAATTAGAATCAGTGTATAAATTTATGTGCACAATGTGCATATATGCATAATTTTTTTTAGTATACATAATTTTTTTAATTAAATATATACATGTGCACAAAAAATTTTTCTAATAACATATAAGTTGTGTACAATTTTATGTACAAAATTTTAAAATATATACAAAAAAATTTTTTCTATATGCATATACAGTATGTATAAAAATTTTTTTTTAGATTTTATACACTGGTTAGAATTACAATTATATTTAGATTTATATCAATTCAGAAAATATATAAATAAATATACTATATATTATATATACTTAAATGATAAATCTACTACTAAAAGAATATGAATATTAGCTAGATAATTAAAAAATGATTTAATAATTTCATTTAAATAGAACTTATATAAACAGGTGTATATACAATGATGAAAAAAGCTTACTAATCTAATAGTTTAAATAATATATAGTGAATATACTAGATGTAACTATAAAGTTTGTGATAACTGTATAACTAACTAGATATAACATAATAGTATAAAAAATTCTGATATACTAATACTACAATAGGATTAGATATATTAGTAAAAATATGTATTATAGATAAATTAATCCTAAGCTGTAATTTTACTTGTTGTATATAATAATTACTACATAATTTGTGATTATATTATATTATTAATAAAGATTATAGCAAAAATGCCAACTTTAAAAATAAAATAAAATAAAATAAATAAAACAACTAATGTATATATAAATAACTATATTTATAATAAAATTAATATTAGCAGAAGTTTTATTATAAAATCTTGAAAACTCTAAATCTAAAACTATAACTTTGTTGCAAACAAATTTTGACAACCCAAAATTTTATTAAAGAAATAATCCTGACATATTATAAATCAAATAAAAAATAAACAAAATACAAAAATACAAGAAATAAATCTAGAATAGTAATTGCTAATAAAAATATTCAGAACATATTTTAGTGCTTATTTCGATATCAAGCTGAACTTTAATTTTATTTAATAATATTTATACAGTTATAGCACAACTCCTTCGCTTATAAACTTTATTACTCTCAATTTCATATCCTTAGTCTATATTATAATCAGGCTTTTATATTAGTTGGGATTACGAAAAATAAGTTTTCACAAAATATGTAAAAAAACAGCATAAATTACCGCGTTCAATTGATTTATTGTATACCTATAAATTAAAATTAAAATTTAAACATGCCTCTCATCTAATTTCCGAATTACTCCGTTTTACTTTGACAGTTTATAAAATAAGGTATATATATACTTTAAGATTTTTTTGGTTTTGCCAATTAATATCTGTGGCTGCCAATTCATTTTGTAATACAAAACATTACGTAATATGTAGAACATATTGTGTAATATTCCGCTCAATCATCCAATCAAATTTAATGCCTGCTATGTTTATCTCAAAGCTCAATATATAACTCGATCAAAGTATTGAATTGGCCAATAAGATTAAAATTTTGTAGTAGTTTTATAAGGTTTTTATAGGTTAGGGTTAGGGTCAGGTTGAGGTTAAGGATGGGCATGCCCTTTGGCCATAATGCCATAAAGCGTGGCCATGGGTATGCCCTTTGGCCATAAAGCGTGGTCATGAGTATGCCCTCAAGGGCATTCCCCATGCCCCTGTACACCGAACCCTAGTTATCACATTAACAAGGAAATTTTTTATTCAATTTAAAAAAAATTAATCCTGTTTCACTAATTGTGAGTTATGTACGTACATTGGTTATTTTAAAATCAATAGGAAATAACCTCCGGCCGTCATTAATAAAACAGGAGAATAACATAATTATTCCTCTTGAAGCGGGACTTAGTAGTGTCACTGATTAACCAAAATGCTCGTGACCAAATTAATCAAGACGATGAAAATTTCATTCATATGTTCGTACGTACGTCAATCATACGATAATTAAGAAGCAGAGTATTGGCATCTTAAAAACCCTTGAGCCCCTTGCTGGTTATATAAAAAAAAAAAATTACTATATATTTTCACGGTTATAAATAAAATGTTAAGAACGTTCAGATAAAATTCTTACAATAAATATATTTTGATAAACGATTTTACAATATCTTACCTATTTTATTCTAATTAAGTCACCATATTCGATACGTATATCGATTTTGAGAATTATCTCGTAAAACTATATTAAATTAATCCAGAAAAGGTAGCTACGTACCTAAAAGGCTTTGTTAAATTCAACATTTATGTGTCGCAACTGCGTTGTAACCTAAACTCATGCATCAGTTAGAACTCGAATCATAAAATACGTACATAAGCATCGGATAATGTTGATACCTAAATTGAGGATTAGCATCAAGCATCAAATCAAGGGACCGCATCATTACTTGCATTTATAGGGTTGATTGGGTTGTTGAAATTTAGAACATGCAAAAAGAAATTAACATACAGGTTTGGGTTTAGAATTGGGTTTGTAACCTGGATAAATGTATAAATGTTAACCGTCAAACTCAAAATTAGATAAGAACTCAAACTGTTTCATTTAGCCCCAAAGTGGTGGATCACACTTTCTCAACGGTCGACCCGATTTATAGTTAGAGATATCGTTGGTTAGATTAAAGAATTAAAGAATTAAAACTCGGTGAAATAACTGTCGATGAAAAGGTGAAACCATTTCAAGAAAATAATGAAACATACATAAATTTAAGGTTTAGAAAAATTTTTTTATTTAAGGCTGAAAAATTTCAGTTATTGACTTTTTTTTTTTTAAGAATCTCGATTTTTTACCTCATAATCTCAACTTCATCCCTTATTATATGTTTTCAGAAGAATTGAATGTTTGAAGAATCGTGATAGTATGTTCTGGTTGCAATTTAAAAGTTCAAAACCATTACGAATATATATATATATATATACTACTTATAAATGCGTATTTTATCTTAGATAAAATAACAACAAAAATAATAAAAATAACAATAACAAATAACAATGACGAATAAAAAGTTTTTATTAATCATTATTTTATTATTGAAGAAATAACAGGTAATGATTTCGTTACGTACGAATATACTGTCGTTTACTGGGTTTGCAATTTCTGCATTTCCCACCCGTAACATTAAAGATTATATTCTCATTCATTGAGATTATTTGAGAACATAAAATTTGGGAATTGTATTTTAGGTTCTTGAGAGAACAAAAAAAAAAAAGTTTTTTTTGCAGCCGTGGTTGTCAATCACATTGCACAGCACACATGATATCGTCTGGGGAGATATAAATTATCAAATATAAATACTGTATATAGTAAGTGTCTGTACGATTCTGTATATTTTGGTTTTACTTTATATTTAAAAAAAAAAAAAATTTTTTTTTTTTTTTTTTTACAATAATTTTATATTATAAATTCTTTTTTGATAGACTAACCTTTAAATAATAATAGAATAATCTATTAAAGTGTATAATATAAAATCAACTGTAAACCAAAAAAATATAAAATCTTCTTAAAATAATCCCGATTTAGTCAAAGAATGAGATTATATTATATTTATTTCAGGGAATAGTTCGAAATGAAGCGTATATTGTATTCTACCAAATTAAGCAACATCTAATTAGTCTAATCCACAAAAGACAATACAAAACCGAAGCTCTACCAAAAGTGGATGTAATCTCTTTTGACAAATCATATGATCATATTGTGGCAACTTTTTTTTTTTTTGGAAATTCAGGTACGTATGAATATCGATTACCCTTCATAGAGACTATTTTAGATCATTTATCCGTAAATTTCATTATGTATACAGTGTTCATGCCAACAGGAAAATAGGAAAAACAGGAAAAAAAAGGAATCAAAAAATTTTGATTTCTATTAGGTGCCATTCAACCAATTTTTTTATTTGCCAATTCATTTGAAATTTATCGAAAACCTATTTTTTGTCATGTTTTTTTTTTTTTTTTTGTTTAAAAAAAAATTATCATTTTTTTGTATAGACCTATATATATTAAGTAATACTTTTTGTAAGTTCTAGAACCTTTTCTATATGGGAAGAGGAGATGTCTATATAATATGTATGGTTTTTTTTGAATTACAACCAATAAATCTATGGTGCGAGCGATGATGTTTTTGTCGTAAATCGTTTATAAAATGTGGGGAGTTTTTCTAAATATCGTTGATATTGAATTTTGATAATATGTATAAAAAACTTTGAGGGTATAATTGATAGATTATATAAAACGATAATGAAATATCTATCGTACATAAAAACGCATATGAAATTAGTGAATCGACGTTAAAAGAATTTACCCTCGAATTAATTGTTTTTGTGGGGGTAATTAAATTATACGAAAAGTAATTGTGATTAGACCAAAATTATTGGCTGTATCGAGTTGAGAATCGAAAAAAACCCCTCTTCATGAACGTATGAAATGTATATAGTCGAATGAAAAAAATGTGATTGCATGATTATTAAAGATAAGGGGATGTCGTCCATATGTAGTGTTCTCTTTTTAGTTTTTTTTTTTTTGAATTTGGATTTTGAATGTATATATCTTACAGTTGGAGGTGGTTTTATATAATTTACTTGGCGTAATATGAAAGGGATAAGTCTTAAAAATGAAAATGAATTTTGTTTTTTTTGCTTATGTATTCGGGAGGTAAAAATTAAAAGATCCCTTTTCCGACCTGGCCTTTCTATAAAAATAAAGAATTAAAAAAAATATATTAAACGTTTAAAAAAAGAAATATTGTCGGTTTTTTTTTTTATATTGCCAGCAATATAATCATCACGATATTTCTTTGTTTTGTTTTGTCTTGTTTTTTTTTTTTATGCGTTATCTTTTCGTTAAAGATCATGCCATACGAGGAGGCATTGTGGCGGTATAGTAAACATCATTAGGAGCTTCCACAGGAGATGGATACCCATATTTATAAGGATCATTTATTTCTTTCACTACCGGTTTAACCGGTTTAAAAGCAGTGATGCGTGTAGTGGACGTTAACATTGTGGAATCAATAGGCTGTGGCAAATATAGACAACTAATTGCTGGAAGATTCAACATCGTTGAATAGCCTGATTGTTGATATGACTGATGATGATCAACTGTTACCATTTCAATTTGTTGTTTAAAACAATCTGTAGAGCAGTCTGTAGGTGAAGGTGGGCTAGGTGGACTTGGAAGCCCAGTATAATTACGGTTGCATGTCGACGACAACGAAATCGCTAAATGATCTGTTGAACCTTGCTTACGTGGTTCGAAGGCACTTTATTTTAAAAAGAATTAATGATAAGAGAATTAATGATTAATGATATGTCTAATATATCTGTCTAATAGATATATATATATATAATACAATTCTACATACGTATTATATTCCTTCCAATGAGGATCGTGTTGTCTCTGATGCCGCGTTAAGGTAGTGCGACGAGTGAACGTTTTTCCGCAACCTGAGTGAGGGCACACATAAGGTCTTTTTCCAGTGTGTGTTCTTCTATGTCTAGCCAAAGAAGATGACTAAAGAGATCAATTAAAAAAAATGTAAGTATTCGATATTATATTACTATATTATTACACAATATTATTACTATACAATTACTATATAATTACTATATAATTACTATATAATTACTATATAATTACTATATAATTACTATATATTATTTGAACTTTAAAAAAAACTTACATCACTAAAAGATTTGCCACAATTAATATATTCACAAATGTGAGGGCGTTCTCCTGTGTGGGTACGATAATGAACGGTCAATGCGGATCGTTGAATGAATTGCTTACCACATCCGACCCATTCACAACGATATGGACGTTCACCCGTATGAATCCTTCGGTGTCGAGCAAGGTCTGAACGTCTTGAGAATGCTTTACCACAGGCTGGCCAATTGCACTCATATGGCCGGTCGTTATCAATGATCTGTTCTGAATCCGTACATTCGCTTGAAGTACTTGGAGTTGGACTCGTTGGACCGTAAAGTTGTTGAGTTTCTTCGTTATTATTCAATAGGGAATGGATATCCATTTTATCCATTATGTATATTATATATGTCTCGAATGTTGAAATGATTTATTGATGAAAACAAATTTGATTTGCTTATATCGTTGCAAGAAGGGTTTGTTTTGCAATTAAGGTTAAAACTTCGAATTTTGTGTATTGCATAAAAAAGATGGGAAAGGAGTTTTTCTTTAGCAAAAAATACCCCTAAGACGTCTCGTTTACAAATAGGTTGCAAACGTTGAAAACAATAAAAACAAAACGTCAACGAAAAACAATCAAAGTTACAGTCGATATTAATTTTGTTTGAAATTATAAAGGAACTTTGAGGTCGTTGACGTCACTGTACGCATAGGAAGCGGTGAACAGTACTATCAACGAAGGTGTCATAAAAGTTATTTCAAGCTCTATATATCTAAAAATTTTTTTTTTTTTTTATATTTTTTTTATATTTTTTTTTATATTTTTTTTGGGAATACTAATTTAGGTGCAAATATTTGTCGTAAAACAAACAGGAGAGGGTTTTAAGAAAAACGTGGAACAAAAAAATAGATTTGTCTTTAAATAACATTGTAATTTGAGTGGCATAATATAAAAGCATTTATGTAAGCATTATAATAATTCTTTAGCATATAAAAAAAATAACAATAATGATACATGATACATGTCATAAGTTAAGTAATTTTATTTATTTTATATTATCGTTATGTATGTACTGTAATTACAATTTATTATATTCAAAATATTCGGCGTTTTACTTAACTGGATACTTACTTGACTAGTTTGACTAGTCACCTATCATATGCACGTTCAATTAATGATTTATATATATATATTGAAAATCAATTCAACGAATCACATGATTGTAATCTTGTCATTTATATTATTTGTTTACAATTTTTATAAACAAAACATTGTTTTTAAATAATTTGTTTATTAAACAAATACTATAGATTCTACAGTATCTATTTTATTTATTTTATTTATTTTATACAACTTATAACAAAAATTATAGGTATTGAATATTATATATATTTTAAAAACCTTAACTTTAAATTTTTCTAGCAAAAATTTAGACGTAAATACGTATGTACGTGCGTACGTATATCAGATATACATGATATAATAGAATCGTATATTTAAATTTTTTCAATCAGTGATGACGATGCTTATACAGTATGTCTAATTGTTTTGGTTTAAATTGTTATATATATTTTATTTGCGCAATATTTAATACAGCACGCCTAATTGGTCCAATTGTCGATATTAGTAAATATTAAATTTTACTATAGTAAATATACTTTTTATAATTAAAATTATACAAAAATGATTATTTTTAATTTAATATGCTATTGGTAGTTTATACTATACTCTATATATTATATTTTTTAAATTGCTAATTTTATAATAATATAATATTAATTTTATAAACTTTATAATTGTTTTTTTAAAAAATTTTATATAAGAATCAAAATTTAATACTACTGCATTTAATATATAGTATATATAATTATTTTTTTAATATTAATAGCTATCTATTTGTTATATTAAATTTAGTACAATATACTAAATTTAGTATAGTTTTAAAAGTAAATTATAAAAATTTTATTATAAACTTAAAATTAAATTTATTCAATATATAATCTTTTATTTATATTTTAATATATTTAAAAGTTAGCTAACTTAAAGGTATAGCAACTTAGTATAGTTGATAAGTTGTTATGCTCTAAGTAACAAGACAAGAGTTTAAATTTCATCAAAAATGAAAATTTGAATTTATAAGATATGTTATAGCAGATTATATAATCTATTAATTAAATTAGTATTTATAATCTTAATTATATTTATACATATATATTAACAAAATTATTTTTGGGTTTAAAACTGAAAATTAAAATTTAAAAATGAAATTATTTTTAATCTATTTTATTTAATGATAAAATTTTTTAATATTTTTTAAAAAGACAAAATTATAAAAAATATAACTATCTAAATTAGATTTATTCTTGTATATAAAAAAATTTAATTGTTTTAATAAAGATAAAATAAAGTTTTTTTTAAAAATCTATTTGGTAGTATATATAGTTATATCAGGATCCTGAAATACATATTGGAGGGTAAAGTTTTATAAACATTACCAAATATAAAAAGATCTGTAAGAAAAAATCAAAAATAAGCAAACTAATTACTATAAATGAAAATAATCTGCATAAAAAAGATTAAAAATATGCAAACTTTAATCTGACCTATCTATATATATTTCAAAGTTCTGTTATACCAGCTTATATTAAAAAATTGTAAAGCAATAGTATAATATATAAATTAAATATAAAAAATTTAAAATAAAATAAACAAATAAATCTAAAAAATTAAAAATACAGAAGTTTACTTAATAAAGCTTAAATAAAAAGATAATATAAATTTTTGATAATATAATATAAAGAATTATTATTTAAAAATCTTAATACTTGGTAAACTAAATAGAATCAAAATATTTAGTATAATATTCTACTAATTAAACTATCAAAAAAGTAATTAAAAAGACTTAATTATAGAAACTAAAAACAAATTATAACTTTTCTAAACTATTTGAATTAAAAGTTTAAAGTAGCTAAAGATATTAAATATAAAAAATTTAAAATAAAATAAACAAATAAATCTAAAAAATTAAAAATACAGAAGTTTACTTAATAAGGCTCAAGTAAAAAGATAATATAAATTTTTGATAGTATAATATAAAGAATTATTATTTAAAAATCTTAATACTTGATAAACTAAATAGAATCAAAATATTTAGTATAATATTCTACTAATTAAACTATCAAAAAAGTAATTAAAAAGACTTAA